TTAATGCACTAATAATTTAATCACATCTTCTATATCTTGTTAAAAATAAATAAAATTTAACATAAATATCACTAAAATTGATTAGAAGCATTCATAATCAAAATTTAAAACTTCTAAACCAAATATCTAACAATAGTATAATATCAAGACTAGATTTATTATATTATTTTAAGACTTTTAGAATGATGCTTTTTAAAAACTTAGTTATGAGAATCATAATATTATTTTAAGAACAAATTAGAAATTCAGGATTCAAAAAGTAAAGGCGCAAACCAATTTTCAAGGAATAGAGTTACAGGTGAATTAGAAATTTAAAATTAGGGTTAGGGTGCATGATTAAAATGAAAAAATAACTTAAGAAATACGGAGATGTTTTATTTTTATTTTTTAATTAAATTAATGAAGTTATTATCTTGTAAAATAAAAAAAATTTAAAATACTACAAAAAATTATATTATATTATTTAATTAAGTTATCTTGTAATCGGATTTTATTTTGTAATCTGGCAGTTTAGGCGGTTTGAAAATAAAATTACAAACCAAACCAATTATATCGATTTTAAAATTTTATAATTTTAACTAACCCAATTTTATATTGGTTTGAATCGATTTTTGATTGAATTGGATCAGTTTAGGTCGACTCAATCGGATTGGATCGGATATAAACACTTCCTACAGGTGATGGGGCTGGAAATGAAAATGGGGATGGGATGTGTCCGTTAAAAGTTTCTATAAAAATCCTCATTCCTGCCAATAACAAGTGATGGGACTGGAAATGGAAATAGGGATGGGATGTGCCCGTAAAAAAATTTCATAAAAATCCTCAAAAATTTCGATAAAAATCCTCATTCCGATCGGGTGATGGGGTTGGAAATGGAAATGAGGATGGGAGTGTTCCTAAAAATTTTCTATAAAAATCCTCATTCCTATCATTAAAAGGTGATGGGGTTGGAAATGAAAATAAGGATGGGAGGTATCCGTAAAAAATTTTCAAAAAGTCCTCATTCCTATCATTAACAGGTAATGGGGCTAGAAATGGAAATGAGGATGGGATGTGTCTGTTAAAAATTTCCATAAAAATCATCATTCTTATCATTAACGAGTGGTGGGGCTGAAAATGAAAATGGAAATGAAAATGGGGATGGGAGGTGTTTCAAAAATTTCCATAAAAATCATCATTCTTATCATTAAGAAGGGGTGGGACTGAAAATAGAAATAAGGATGACATGTGTACCTACTTTCGTATGGACCCCGAGATTCGTTACCATTTCTAGGTCTCATCTATTTTGAAAGCTGTTATCAATCACCAGCTGTTGTCCATGTTAAAAGCTGTCATCACTGTAAATTGGCCTCTAGTGCAAGTGGTCCAACTGCTGTCGTTAAATAATATAAAGTATAAACCAATAATTTGACGTGCTACTCCATAAAGCAGTGCTGCCCCATTCAGTTATTAGTGACCAGTTACCAGCACACCTACAATATTTTGCAT